GAGCTCTGGCGTAGGCTGGTCCATGAGGTCACGAAGAGTCGGAGACGACTGAACGAATGAACAACAAAATTGTAATCTGGTATGGTATAGGAGTGACACCAATCCTAGAGACACTACAATATCATGTGGCACCACACTTTTCTTATTGATGTGTAAAATGGATGCTTCTTTAACAACCAATTGGTGTGATGTAGACACGAAAGAGAACTAAATGGAATAAGTTATAACTTAATTCAATTAATGTATTCATTCAATTCATTTGCAGGCAACAATGAATGTTGAACATGAAATCAGCCTTTTAGTGGAAGAGATTCAACGACTGGGGACCAAAAGTAAGCACTTAACAATTAACAGTTGAAAAAAAGTAGAGATCCTGTCTCATGGAAGAAAATTCAAGCCTATTGTGTGATTACAATTGTGAGTTGCCCAATTCACTTTGCTAGTACTAGTATGAATTAGCCAACAAGTACTCTGCAAACTGAGAAAACATTCAAACACACTGCTTCCAATATAGATAGAAATAGGTCTGGAAGCCAGTTTATTTGCAGTAAATGGTAGTTTGTGATCTAGCTGCAGAAATGTGAAGGTTTTTCTTAACCCATTCATTAAAATGAGTATTGTATATCTATAACATCATTAGGGTTGCTGGAACTCAGAGACTGATCCTAGATCTCAGGGCTTGCACTTTTTTCTCCAATCCTCACAGGAAGAAGGGTGAGAGTGTTATCTTACTGGCATGCATACTTGCACACACACACACTATCTCTCTCCTCATTTAAAATTGGCATTTCTTATTTGAATATCATTTTTATTTGAAAGATGTGTGCATATATATTTTGTTAATATTTACATTTGAACACTATATTCTGTGCAGCTATGGTTGACAGTAAACGTATCATGATTAATAACATCACCAGAGTCAGTTACCTAGGATATCACAAGAGGTCATCCCTAGGTCTAATATAATAATAATAATAATAATAATAATAATAATAATAATAATAATAATAATATACAATATTTATATTCTGCTCTATCTACCTGAGGGGTCTCAGAGCAGATTACAGAATACATATATGGCAAATTTTCAATGCTGTTAGGTCTCATCTGGATCTTATGCAGCAGTGTAGCCCCAACCTCATATAATCCAGTGTAGATGGGGCCCTATACTGCCATATAAAATCCTGATTATCTGTTTTGAACTGGATTATATGAGGCTGTATCTGCACTTCCATATAATCCAGATTATCAAATCAAACAATCCATATCTGCTTTGAACTGGATTATGAGTATACATTGCTATAGAATCCCATTCAAAGCAGATAATCTGGTTTTTATATCGCAGTGTGCACCCAGCCTCATATAATCCACTCCAAAGTAGATAATATGTATTGTCTGCTTTGAAAATCTGGATTATATGGCAATGTAGATCCAGCCTTGGGTTTTGGCCTTGAAATCTCCTGATCTGGCAGACCTTTTTCTATGTCTCATGCCAGACAAAATTGTCCTTCATACTCCAAATTCCTTGTATTACAGAAATTTTAAACTTTGTTAGAACATTTGGAAATATAGGCTGGATCTACACTTCCCTATATCCCAGGATCAGGTCTCAGATTATCATTTTTGAATTGGATTATATGAGTCTACACTGCCAGGTATTCTGGGATAAGCAGATAATCTGGGAGCCCTTTAAGACAGGCCCTATATCCCAGGATGTGATCCCAGGTTTACTGTTTATCCCAGATTATCTGCCAGTGGGGACTCATATAATTCAGTTTAAAGCAGAAAACCTGGGATCAGATCCTGGGATATAAGGCCTGTCTGGAAGGGCCCTGGGATCAGATCCTGGGGTATAGGGCAGTGTAGATCCAGCCATAGTATAGGCGTCTAAAGGAAAGGGACAGGCAACATTACCAAGGGAACGTGAACAACACAAATGCTGCATTAGATATCTGGGTGCCCTTCCGCACAGCCCTATATTCCAGAATATCAGGGCAGAAAATCCCACATTATCTGAGTATGGATTCAGATAATCCAGTTCCAAGCAGATATTGTGGGATTTTCTGCCTTGATATTCTGGGATATAGGGCTGTGTGGAAGGGCCCCAGGTGAGACTGATTTTCAGTGTCTCATTTAACATCACTAGAAACTTAGGGAGTGAAGCAAAATCTTAAACAGGTAAAATTCTTATCTGAGGCAACACTATCAGTTTTCTGATCCCTTCTTGGTAGATATCTGTCAATGGATAGGGCTGATCTGAGTTGGACCTGACAGGTGTTGAATTTTGATATTAATGCATAATATGATTCCAGATGAATAAGTGCTGATATGCAGCATGTGTCAGTGATATTTCACATGAACTCAGTTCATAAGTTGGTTTATAACAATCAGGAACATGGAATGAAAGCAGTTAATTCAAAATTTGAAAACTGGTAACAAAAATTAATTTTTAAAAACATATTTTTAGAATGAGCTTAACAGGAAACATGTAAAGTCTCCACTCATTTCCAAATGCCTATTGGAACCAAAATATTAGTTTGTGACTGTTGAAATCCTTTCTTTTGCCTAGATCCTGATGGGACGTTGAGTGTGAAGTTTGGAGTACTCTTTGCTGATGAAAAGTGTGCCAACCTTTTTGAAGCTTTAGTGGGGACTCTGAAAGCTGCAAAACGGAGGAAGATCGTTAGTTATCCTGGAGAACTCCTTTTGCAAGGAGTTCATGACAATGTTGATATATTGTTATTGCAGAATTAATTCATGTAGAATCTCCTTAGCTCCATAACATTATTGTTCCCCCCGGCCAGCTCAAAGACTATACAAAGTTCTATCAGACCAATGCATGTTTGCATGAAGGTGTATTTTCCTATCTTTCTAACAAAAATGAAATGGTTTTCTTTGGGAAATCTTTTAAGAATTATTTTGTGAATTGCTCACAATAAAATGATATAACAACCTTATTTTGGTCTCAGGAAATGCATTTTAAACCAGTCTGACTTGTTGCTAATGATGAAAAATACGAGTTTCCTTATAATTTTTGTTATGCTTGCAGTTTCTCAAAATCAGATGACTGCATTTATTGCTGTAAGCATGAGTGTGTCTTTTTCTTGCTTTTATTTCTCTTCTAGTAACAATCGCTCCAGGCAAAATGAAGACATAAAACAGAACAAAGGAAAGAGTGTATCTTGAAACTTGATATTTAATAGAAACCTCACATGTGAAGCTTCAAAAACGCACAACGGTTTGATACATTTAATCTCTTTTTGCATGGCAACACTTCAGAGAAGTTGTGGTAGGATACAAAGATCTAAGGTTTCTCAAGAGTGTGGCCAGGAGAACAAAATTAGCACCAAATCTCTTTCATTTTGCATGACTGAAGCATTGGGAGGATTGTCCTTCTAAGGCTGTATCTGCACTGTAGAATTAATGCAATTTTCCTGCTTCTTGACAGAGTTGGACTGGATGGTCCATGAGGTCTCTTTAAACTCTGTGATACTATGATTCTAATGCAGCTTGACACTACTTTAACTGCCATGGTTCAATGCTTTGGAATCTTGGGATTTGTAGTTTCATGAGGCACCAGTCTTCTTTAGCTGATAATGTCAAAACTTATTTACTTAGGTGATCCCTCGTAGTCTGAGGATGATGGTCTCCAAGTGTAGTGTCTTGGCAGTGGGTCTGTAGGTGGCTGTGGAACCCTATTGATCTGCATGTTCTCCTGCAGTGAGGGCATCAGTTTCCAGGTGGAAGGTGGTCTTGGTCACTGTTGGCTTGACATGCCTTCTTCTTGGCATGTTTCTCACTTTTGCCTTCCATTTGTGCCTCTTCAAATTCTGCAGCACTGCTGGTCACAGCTGACCTCCAGTTGGAGCTCTCAAGGGCTAGGGCTTCTCAGTTCTCAGTGTCTATGCTACAGTTTTAAAGGTTGGCTTTAAGCCCATCTTTAAATCTCTTTTCCTGTCTACTAACATTATGTTTCCCGTTCTTGAGTTGGGAGTATAGTAACTGCTTTGGGAGATGGTGATCGGGCATTCAGACAATGTGGCCAGTCCAGTGGAGTTGATGGCAAAGGAGCATCACTTCAATGCTGGTGGTCTTTGCTTCTTCCAGCACGCTGAAATTTGTTTTCCCAAGAGATTTGCAGGATTTTTTTTGGAGACAATGCTGATGGAATTGGTCCAGGAGTTGGAGTGTGACATCTGTGGACAGTCCACGTTTTGCATGCATATAGCAGGGTTAGGATGACAATAGCTTTCTAAACAAGCATCTTGGTCTTGCTACGAATTTCCTGATCCTCAATCACTCTCTGCTTCATTTGGAAAAATTCTGCACTTGCAGAGCTCAGGCGGTGTTGTATTTCAGTGTCAATGTTGACTTTTGTAGAGAGGTGGCTGCCAAGGTAGTGGAAATGGTCAACATTTTCCAACGTTACACCATTAAGCTGTATTTCTGGCATTGCAGAGGGATTGCATGGTGACTCTTGGAGGAGCACTTTAGTTTTCTCGATGTTCAATGTGAGACCGAGCTTCTTGTATGCTTCTGCAAAGATGTTTAGAGTGGATTGTAGGTCTTCTTCTGAATGTGCACATACGTTATCATCAGCATATTGGAGTTCTATAACATATGTTGCTGTGGCCTTAGATTTGGCTTTTAGTCTGCTGATGATTTCCACTCTGGTGGGATGCTTCCCATCAACACTATGATTCTATGATTTTAATGCAGCTTGACACTACTTTAACTGCCATGGTTCAGTGTTTTGGAATCTTGGGATTTGCAGTTTCATGAGGCACCAGTGCTGTTTAGCAGAGAATGTCAAAACTACATCTCCCATGATTGCACAGCAATGAGCCATGGCTATTAAAGGGATGTTAAAATGCTCCTATTTCTTGTAAGACTTGGTTTCCAGACCTTTTACCATTTTGTTTGCCTTCCTCTGGACACATTCCAGCTCATTAATATCCTTGCATTTATTCTGCTTTTCTATTTTGCCTCTGTATCAGTCTTCTGTAAAAGCTTGAAGAGAACCTTAAAATTAAGCTGTTTCCTTAGTAAATAAATACAAATCTGAAAATCATTTTCATTTATCTTATTCTGTGTAAAAAATAGTTTTGACTCAAAAGATTTTGTACATTTGCACCTGCAGAATTTGACTTAAAAAAGGATACATTTTTAATCTACAATAAAACACTTACAAGTCTGAACAACACTGGGATTTTTCTTTGATGACTGGAATGCTGCAATTGAATACTGGAAATTCATGTTTTGTTTTGTTTGTTTTTTTGGTGGTGGGTGGGGACTAGAAACTCATGTTTGCTCTCCCAAGGCTGATTCACACAAGCAGATGGAAATGCAGTTTGCTTCCTTTGAAGAATATTGCTTTGAAGAGTAAGGCGATGATAGAAAATAAAAATGTTTTGATTAGTAAAGGTTGTTTTAAGGTGTTGACGCATGTAGCACAATGGAGTTACACTGTGCCACTTCAGAGAATGCAGTATCATTTGGGAATATGGGTAGTGCAACTTTCTTTGGACATTATCCTATGTAAATTATTCCTGTTAAACTCAACAAACTAGTTCAACATTTTTGTAGTTCCGCTTTATGCCTACATGTGTATGTGCCATCAAGTTGCCTGTTGACTATGGATTTCATAGGATTTTCTTATGCAAGAGGTGGTTTTGCCAGTTCCTTCCCATGAAATACAGCCTACATCACCTGGTATGCATTGGCATACTAACCAGAGCAGCTTCCACAATCAAATGGGATCTGGTGCCTTTAAGATATTTAGACCATATAACTTTATCCCTACTGTGCTAATATTCTCCTTGGGCCCTTCCAGACAGGCCCTATATCCCAGGATCTGATCCCAGGTTTTCTGCTTTAAACTGAATTATATGAGTCCACACTACCAGATAATCTGGGATAAGAAGAAAAGCTGGGATCAGATCCTGGGATAGAGAGTCTGTCTGGAAGGGCCCCTTGAGGGCATTATAATGTTATATTACAGAGCAGAGCATCAAATGTAGTATGAAGTGATATAGGCCATGCTTCTGCCTCATATTCTGTTGTCTCTGTACAGATAGAACAGAGGCTGTACCTCTACAGTTATAGCACTATTATTCCACTTTAATTGTCCTGGTTCCTTCCTATGGAATCTGAGGATTTGCAGTTTAGGGTAGGGCATTTAGAATTCTCAGCCTGTAGTGCCTCACCAAACTACAAACTTCAGGATCCCATAGAATGGAGCCATGGCAATTAAAATGGAATAGCTGATGCATTGTGAATGGGCCCCAGGATTCACTAGCAGCCTGTTACTAAATATTATGCATGTATAAATATGCCTCATAATTATAATACCTTATAGACAAGAGCTGTTATCAGAACAGTTCCATTCATATAAAATAGTGTACATTTAACATTCATTATTTTGCTTAGAGTTGTTAGTGCCCAAACAGGTTAGACATGACAACAACAATCTCACGATGCACAGTTGGTGTTGATCTGAAATAGTACATTCCACGTGTGTTGGACTACAATTCCCATTGCCATCACTCATCAAGCCTGTTGTATTAGACTGATCATGTGGTTGGAGGTTATAAAGTGGTTCCCCGTAGATCATAATGTCATATTGACAGGTGAAATGTGCAAGAGAGGGCTAACCATTTCCCATTATGACCCTTGCTGTGTAGAAGAGAAGCCTACCAACCACTGGGTAAGAAGCAAAGGTTAAGGCTGGATTTACACTGCCATATATCCCAGGATCTGATCCCAGATTATCTGCTTCGAACAGGATTATATGAGTCTACACTGCCAGATATTCTGGGATAAGCAGATAATCTTAGCCCCCATCCTTGAATCTTTCCGATCCAGCCTAACAACATGGATTTTAAAGCAGGCTTTTGGCCTTGGGTAGACTGAAATGGGCTCATATTAGGTTGACACTTATTTTATGTGTTGATATTGGTTGTTTTATAATTTTTATGTTATATGTTTTATATGCATGTATCGTTATATACTGTATTGGAGTATGTTATATATGTATTGGAGTGTCTTGTAAGCTGCCTGAGTCCCTTTTGGGAGATAGTAGGGGGATATAAAGAAAGATTATTATTATTATTTTTATTATTGTTATCTGGGTTCAGATCCTGAGATATATGGCAGTGTAGATTCAGCCTTAGTTAGTAGTTGGGTATGGTTGCTGACTACCATAAGCATCACAACAGACAGTTCAACCTAGTGCTAAGAATACATAATTTACTCTCTAACAATGAGAACTGGTAGTCAAGCAACATCGGAGTGTGGTCACGATGGCCAAAGTTATTGATAAGGAACAATACAGAGGCCATTGCAGGCTATAATTGTTTGCTCTTGCCTGAGGTGACAGGAAGAAGCAAGATTATACCCCTGCTCTCTCCATGTGCAAAGAAAACTGAATGCAAACTAGAAATGCACCTTGAACTCTTGTTTGCACCAAATAATGTAAGCAAGCAACAAAGGAGCTTATTGGGAGAAGTACATAAAATTGACTTTTTTGTACCAGCTGAGCAAGTGAAATAATGGGATCGATCAAGACGATCCCTGACAAACCAGGACAATTAGAGGGTATGATGTAGCCTTCCCAGAAGTTCCCCTGATTCAGATACAGATAAGGAGGAATGGAGAGCAATGGCGAAGCCTTCACATACTTCCAAACCCTGCTCAGCAGATAGGAATAATCTCAGTTTGCATCAGGACTACAATGGAGGCAAATTGTTAAAACTATCTTCTCTGACCATCCTTTCCTCCCATTTCTTTCCCTCCTTCCCTAAAACATAGACTATTTATATTTTTCGAAATCAGCCCTGCACCTAATTTGGCCACACGTCAAGGTGAAAAAATTCCTTACTGAAAACATCAGTCTGAAAAGCACATTGGAACCTTGGTCTGCAATGAATTATTGCTGTGACTCGCATTCTGCATTGAG